CTAAACAACACTAACAAGCATGTCATCTCTGCATATTCTAGTAATCATGTTCTAAACGATGTAGTATTCGTGCATATAGAAATCCTGTTTAGGATTCTGCATATACATTCTTCTGCATCTCTGCACGTTAGATATCATGTCTTTAGGATTTCATTTATATTTGCTTAAGCACACTTAGGCTAATTATGAACGCATAAAAGGAATACAACAATTTTACTTAGTCTTTGCAATTAACTAGCAACAATTCTATGTGCTGAACACCTAGAACAGCATGTTTAGGTAATAATAATAATCTCCAACTGTCTTAATAATCTTGAATAACTATCGAATCCTGCTCACGCCTAGGCAAGCCTAGGTAATTACTTAAATAAAACTGGGACTACCTTGGTTAATTATCAACTGCTACAACCAGCAGACAGGCCTGATTCGGACTTCTTTTCAGAGTTATATAATGAATCTGGTTCTGACTCAAACACCCTGCTTTAGGATTTTAAAATTCAGACCTTAACTGTGTTTAAGTCGTGCTGTTTATGTGCATTATTTGCGGAGGTATACATGAGCCTTCTAATTGTTTACATGTCTCCCCTTTAAATGCAGTCCTATGTGTTTTTGTATGTCGCCTTAGCCTTTTTACCTTTAAACCTAAGATTCAGCCTAAAACCTCCCTCTTATAGGAATAGTAGTCCTAAATCCCTCCGGGACTGATAGGAATGGGACGGGTAACAGCATGCAATAGAGGTCGAGACCAATCATCGCTTTAATACCTTCACGGGGTGGGAAGGGTAGATATGGATATGATGACCGGTGTGCTAATACCACGTGTATCCCCTCTTCTGAGGAGTGCCATACCGGGTATTGCATTGATGTGATCCATATTACAAACAAACCTAGGACTCCTTTTACATTCACAAGCATGTTTAGATTATAACTCTCTTCAAAACCTTGCTTTTATTTTTTTTTTCAAACACTTGCGTATTTAAATTCAAAATCCCCTATTATTTGAGCCTTATTTGTTTACTTGCTAATTGCACAAATTCACAAAAAACTATCTGGCCGGGAACCACACTAGTGGATCCTGAGGGGTGCCTAACACCTTCCCCTTAGGATAATTTCAAGCCCTTACCCTATCTCCGGTTACCAAACATAGTTGTAGTTGAACCCCATAGGTGCCCTAACGCACCTTAAAATCGTTAGGTGGCGACTCTTCAAAATCGCAAAACCCCTTTTCCCAAAAGGAAAGAGTTGTCCCAACCAAATATCATAAACCCGATTTCGCGAGAAAAAGGGGGCGCGACAATAATATCTATCCCCTGGTTTTGTAGGTTGTTTAGGAGCAGCAGGGACTAAAGGACCTGGGGGTATTATAGGTTGTTTAGGCGCTTTAGGATCTTTAGGTGCATTAGCTGCTTGACGTGCTTTAGCTGCTTTAGGATCTTTAGGTGCTTTAGGTGCCATCTGTTAAAAAAAGTAAAAGATACAAAAAATAACATCAGAACATTATCAAAAAAATCAGTTAAAACTTCAGCTTTAAGAAGGCTGAAGTTCACCAATTACAAAACAAAAACTTCAGCTCCTAGAACTGAAGTTCACCAGTTACGAAATAAAAACTTCAGCTCCTAGAGTTGAAGTTCACCAGTTACAAAACAAAAACTTCAGCTCTTAGAGCTGAAAGTTCACCAGTTACAAAACAAAAACTTCAGCTCCTAGAGCTGAAGTTCACCAGTTACAAACAAAAACTTCAGCTCCTAGAGATGAAGTTCACCAGTTACAAAATAAAACATTCAGCAAAAACATGCTGTAAGTTCACCAGTTACAAAACAAAAACTTCAACTCCTAGAGATGAAGTTCACCAGTTACAAAATAAAACATTCAGCAAAAACATGCTGTAGTTTTTACAAAAAACAAAACATAAATTCAACTCCAAAATAATGCTCAAGTTCATAAAAAATATAACAAAAAACACAAAACACGAAACAAAACTTCAACTCCTAAAACTAAGGTATCATTGAAGTATTATAAACTTCACACTTTAATAGTATCATCTATTTAACTCTCAAAATTTTTAAAAATTTCGACGTCTCCAAACACTGAATAATTTAGAATTTTCATCAAAAATACAAACACACGTTCAAGAAACCTAAAAACACAATCGTAAAAGTAAAACTAATGCACTAATAAAACTAAACCCTACGAAACTATTTTATCATAAATACATGACTATCAAAACCAAAACCAAAAATTAAATCGTAAAAATTAATACTAAAATAAAACCCAGAAAGTTAATGCAATGTACCTGTGATTATACGTAATGTTATTGGGGAACAAACAATTGAAAATAAAAAACAACGACGAAAACCGTTTGATTTCAGAGAAGAACAAATCAAAAAATGCGAATAACGGGAGAGAGAGGCAGAGACGGTAGAGGACTAGTGTATACTTGGAGAGAAAGTAGTCTTTTAATAAAGAAGGGCAAAATAGTCTTTTTAAAAGGCTTTTAACAAAAAAACGGGTACGGGTGCAAACAGAAAAATAAAACGGCTACAGGTTAAAAAGGGGCGACAGGGCGCTCCGTGTAATTTTTACGGAAAAATAAGACCTTTCATATATGTTACACATGCAAATTAGCGAGAAAGCTTATAGACTAAACAACGGAAATGCAAGAAAGACAAAAATTCTTGAAGTTATATAGTACATATGAACTAAACTACTCCTAAATTAAAACAGGAAGCTTAAAGTTAACTTTTTTTTTATTTACAATTTCATTCAAAAGAGGAAAGAGAGAAAGACATTATAACAAATAAAACCAGAAATTACACTCCTTATAATCTTTCATTACTCGTGATTGTAACTTCATTTACCCTCCTGATTTTTCTCTCTCATGTAGTATCTTCATAGTTAGCTCTCGGCCTTCTAGTAAAAAAATAAAGGAATTTTTACCTCATATAGTAAAGGTTAACACCTTATTTATTTTAAATAAATACCATTTAAAAAAATTATATTCTATAGATACCTTTTAAGGTTTATAGCAAAATATTTAATTTTGGTTACCTCCTAGCCCTAAGCCACTAAATACGCTAATCAGTTACAATATTTTCTTTCTCTCTCTACTTTGATACATCCCGTTCTCTTCCCCATCCCATTAAAACTTCTGATTCTCTTCCTCTTCTCTATCTAGTTCGCTTGCGATTTTTCCTCCGTCGATATCCTCCATTTTAGTAGGAGAATTGTTAGAGTATAGTTGCACTTGCGATGACGTTGAGGATAGAATTGACTGGGTCAGCAGGGGAAGCAACCATAGCGAGACAAGTGGTACTACTTGAACTGCTACGGATCAAGAAGTTGTCTTGCGGCAGCGTATTTCCATGCCCGCAAAACTTATGTATGATTAGTATGTAGGTCCGTTGCTAATTTTGCCTTTGGCGTAAACGAAGCTTTCCAAATCTCTAGTCACGTTCAACTAAAAAGCCAATAGGAAAAGCAAAAATCCCATGTTCTCCAAGTCATAACAATAGTGAATACCATCCCTGCCAATTGAAAAAATTGAGATACGGATGTTGTAGGATGATTTTCTGTTAATATATGTCAATATATTTTCATGTATTTCATTGTATTCATTGTCTTTTTTTTCATTGTAATTCAATGTATCTCGTTGTATTTCATGTATTTCATTATATTCACTGTCTTTTTTTCTCATTGTATTTCAATGTATCCCGCTGTATTCTATGCATTTCATTGTATTCACTGTCTCGCTATATGCCATGAATGTATTCATAAGTTTTTTTTAATTAATATAATTTATGTATTCAGATGTATTATATAATTTTCTCTGAAGATTGCTATATTTTTGGGGTATTTTTCGGTTGAGAATCTTTTTTATAACTGAAAATACAAATTTTGTATGTTATAATTGAGTTTGTTGAGTTATATTAGGAGCCTATTATGATAATTGATTCACTTTCCCTTTTAAAACTGTGTAATCCCCTATTTCACGTTGTGAATACAGTCGAATATAATAATCTGTCCAGCTGTAATCTCATGTTTCACTCCGTGAATACAGTCGAATATACTCGAATACAACAACTGATTAGCCGGACTTCCCTGATTCACGCCTATTTTTGCTACTGTATGCATGAATACAATAGCTTAAATACATCAAATACATCTTATAACCACATAAAAGGTATCTATAATCCGTAATATAACAAATGATATCTATAGATGACTAATTACTACTAAAAGATAGTGCTTTATGAAAATTTCTCAAAAATAAATGCCATAAAATGTAGGTGCACTATTCCATGTGTTATTAGAATCGGTACCTAGCTCTTCTCATGCGGTTGTGAGAAAGTATAACAATCAACAAATCGCTAGCGGTTGAACTTGCGAGAGAGTTCAATGATAAGAAAATTTACATTAGAATAAAGAGAAAAAATTAAGGAATCATAAAAAGATAAAAATTCAGGATTAATTATGAGATAATTTTAAAGTAAAAAATTTAATAAAAAAAAACACAATAAATACCTTGATAGGATCTCAATAATGACAATATTTATGTGTAGAAATGAAGTTTTGGGAAAAGGGGAAAAATGATACAAAGGCTATTAAAAAATAGGTGGTCTTAATTGCAGTGTGTTAATTCTTCCGGTTCATTTTAATTGATTTTTTTGTTTTTTTTTACGCATATTAAGAAATCTATTTTTTAGCATTAATTAACAATGAAATTAATTATATTAACCTTAATTTGTTCATTGAAAAATATAACAAATACTCCTAGGCTCTTTACTCCAAGAGCAACTTTAGAAAAAGAAGCTAACTCTTTCTTGATATTTGAAAAAATCAAATATTGCAGACCACAAAAAAAGACCAAAAAATTAATTAAAGTGTGCTGAAAGAGAGGTGAAAAGGTAGTATTCAAAAGTTGGAGGGCTTTCTCCATGATTTAACGAAAACATTGTGGGAGAGTTGCGAGATTAACGAAATTAAGCGCAAATAAAATACACCACTGTCTAGGTTACGAACTCTGGTCCAAACTCCAAACGAACAACTGTAGTAAAACCCTGCAACTCAAAACAAATTCTAAAACCCTCACAAAAGCACGAACCAGCAGTCATCCTAGTACCGTATTCCAATGGCAGATTTTTTGTTCGAACAACCTAGTGACGAGGAAGTGCAGTACGAGGAGAATGACGATGAAGAAGAAGAACAAGAAGAAGCAGAAGATAATGAAGACGCCGACAACAAACCTAAGAAAAAGACACAATCTCCATGGGACTTCTCTTCTTATTCCGAATCCGTCGCCGATGAACACAGCCGCCGTAGCACGACGTCTATTGATTTTAAAATATCAAAAGCCCGTCAACAATTGTCTGAACCTATAGCTAAACCAGTCGAAGAAGATTCTGATTCCGATGACTCAGAACCTCACCGCCAAGTAAAACTGTTCCTGTTATCTCTATTTTTTTACATAGAAGTATCTTTTTTTTGTTGTTGAAGTTTTCCGAAATAATTTTAGATACGTTTAGCTAGGAACAGAATGTATACACTTTTGTGTGGCTATAAATTGAAATAGGAAGCTTAAAGTTGGCCTTTTTTCTCTTTAAATATAGATTAAATAGGAAAGTGTGCCCATAAAATGGGACAGAGTGAGTATCAACTAGTTGGGACTGAATTTTTAGTCCAGTTAGTGAATGTTAGTGTTAAGAGAACTTTTATTTGTGTCAGAAGTTAAAATTATTTATTACTGGAATGAATTGTGCCTACATAGATTGGAATGGATATGTTTAAGATTAGTTGTTTAATTGGTTCGATTATATGTCTTGCATAATAATAGGAAGAGTATAGACCGGAGGATGGTGATGATGAAGTAGATACGAATGTTGGAGAAAAAAAGCCATTTTTTGCCTCATCAGAAGGAGTTTCATTTCAAGCCAATTCATTTATGGAGCTCCATATCTCAAGGCCGTTGCTTCGAGCTTGTGAAGCATTGGGTTACAGTAAGCCCACCCCGATTCAGGTGTTTCTCTTTGCCAGCTTCTGTTACCCCTGAATGTAGTCTCAGCTTGTGTATTAATGTGCGTTACTCCGATGTAGGCTGCTTGCGTTCCGCTGGCCTTAACGGGCCGAGATATTTGTGGGAGTGCTATAACAGGATCTGGAAAGGTACAATTTTGCGATGTTAGATCTAATGTACTTATATTTAGCTAGTTGTTTGTTGTTTGTGTTTTGATTTGTGCTCCTTCGCTCTACATTTTGCCTCTATAGACAGCTGCCTTTGCTTTACCGACACTGGAGAGACTGTTGTACCGTCCAAAAAATAGGCCTGCAATTAGGGTTCTTATTCTTACTCCAACAAGGGAGTTGGCTGTTCAGTACGTCTCCTTATCTCCTCATTTATAAAAATTGTGTGTACTAATTTTAAGTGTTGCTTTCTCAATCTTGTCTGTTCTCATTCATTATATTTTCTGGTGCTTCCGCTACTCGTGTGCCAAAGCAGGTCCCCTTTTTGTGCAACTGAAGCTATTACTTATATTTGGCATCAGATATGCCTTCGATTGAATAAGAAACTATTGGGTTCCAAACTGCAAATACGTTGTCCCGCTACATGAAATTCCATCCAGGAATACAGATAACATTAATTATCCAGCAATTATATTAGGCTTCAATGTCCAAAATCATAACTTTATTAAAAATTTAAAGATCAGAATTGTTTGCCCCTTGAATGAAATTAAAATATTGTCTTTGCCTAATGTATATACAAACTACTATTGTTTTGTATGGTATGTCGATTGATTCTTTTCAGGCTCTACTATGGATTGACTGGGTTATGTCTTATGTGTTATCCAGGGTTCATAGTATGATAGGTAAACTTGCGCAGTTTATGACAGATATCAGATGTTGTCTGGTTGTTGGTGGTCTGTCAACCAAGGTATGTTTAAAGCTTTTCTAGATCTTTCCTAGGAAAAGCTTGGCTACTGCTTCCAACAATTACGGGAATGTCGTGCTCTATTTCAGGTGCAAGAACAAGCCTTGAGATCAATGCCTGATATTGTCGTGGCAACTCCAGGACGTATGATAGATCATCTACGGAACTCCAAGTCAGTTGATTTGGATGATCTTGCAGTATTGATTCTTGATGAGGCCGATCGACTACTGGAGCTGGGATTCAGTGCTGAAATTCGTGAACTGGTATGCCTTCAACATCGTGGTTTCCTTTCCTATAGAGCTAAGATAGCTGTGTGAGAAATAATTATCTTATAACCATCCAAAAAAAGGGATTACAACTATCTTATTTAAAACTTAACTGTAATTCATGTCAATAAACTTTGACTCTAATACAAAGCTATATCTTCTATCTGGAAGGACAAAGTTTTAGTACATTCGTTTATTATGGAGAACTTTCAAGGTATAGAATATAATTAACTGTTTACTCTATAGAAAAGGATGTCCTATGGGCATATACATGCTGAACATGTCCTGGGTTATAAACAGGTTAGATTGTGTCCAAAGCGGAGACAGACCATGTTGTTTTCTGCGACAATGACTGAGGAAATTGATGAGCTTATCAAGCTATCTCTGAATAAACCTTTGCGCCTGTCAGCTGATCCATCAACGAAACGGCCAGCAACATTGACTGAAGAGTAAGACATCGGCAAGCTCTACATTGCAATTAATATTAGGTCTTTTCTCAGAAATGGAATCTCAATCATTAAGTTCTCAATCGCGAAAGCTGATATAACCTTGTTTGCAGGGTAGTTAGAATACGGAGAATGCGTGAAGGAAATCAAGAAGCTGTTCTTCTTGCATTGTGCACCAAGACCTTCACTTCCAAAGTGATTGTTTTCAGGTTTTTAGCTAACTGTACAGAAAGTTGCATTTTCTATTGTGTTATGGTACATCTTGCTGGGTACCAATTTTCATGCACTATAACATACAGTTTCTAGCCAGATAGACTTGGAAGTTATTCTTTTGTTCAAGTCAAGCATGGGCAGGGCATGTGAAATCTGGCCTAAAATGTATTTAATCTTTTATGAGGTTTACACCTTTATGCAGTTCTCGTTGGTTGAAGCTCCTTTGTAGTATGTTCACTTTTATGCTTGTGTTTTCATCAACCTGAAAGTTTAGGTTTCTAATGTGAGCATACTCAAAATAGTGTTCCAACCATGCAAATAGTTCGTCATTGTTTCACTGTCCTTTTTTTTTTTGATAAAGTATAATAATTCAGAAAGTCAATTTTGCATATTCCAATATGTTACCATTTCAAATTCCAAATGTGCTCATTAGTTTTTTCGTGGATGATGAAAAGCATTTTAGCACTTGATTTATTAATTTTACCAAGACAAACCAGAACTATCTAATTAAATTGGATGGTGTAGTACGCGTTATGAATTGGGCAAGTTCAGTGGAAGATATGGAAATAATAACTGATGTAACGGTCCTAAATATCGACCATCAACAGAGGGAAGTGCTGTAAAATGCACTTTTTTTGTGACCCTTTGTTTGGTTTAGTTCAAAGTTGGACTGTTTCATATAATCTTGAAGATTAGTCTATAACAAATGTGATTCTCCTACTAAATACTTGTTTGAATATCCTTCCAATGCTTTTCCATCATTTTTTTAACCAGGACTCTTGATTGGTGCAGAGACTCCAATGTTCATTTTGATTTCGCCAAAATTTGATCACTTCTCTTATCTATCTTCTAGACCTCCACTTGGCTTATCTTTTGGTCAGCAAGGCTAAGTTTTGTGGTTATTTTGACAGTGGTACAAAGCAAGCAGCACATAGGTTGAAAATTATATTTGGTTTACTTGGCTTCAAAGCAGCTGAGTTACATGGAAATCTTACGCAAGCGCAACGTCTAGATGTATGTTCCGTCAAATGTGTTGTCGGAAATCATATAAATAATTCTGTCTAGATGCTTTCTTACTGATTGCTTTATCTGTAGGCTTTGGAAGTTTTCAGAAAACAGGAAGTGGATTTTCTGATTGCAACTGATGTTGCCGCTCGTGTAAGATGTTCCTATCCAATTGGTTTCATATGATCATTATAAGCATGAACTTGTAAAAGCATGTAGTCTTCCTCTTTTATGTACTGCTGATATATCTGTATTCCTGCTGTTATCCTTGGAGCAGAATTAGAATTATGTTCTCTTATTATGTTCTTATATTTTACTGTTGACTGTATTTTTCTTCCTTTATCAGGGCCTTGACATTATTGGTGTTCAAACGGTTATAAATTTTGCCTGTCCACGTGATCTTACTAGGTAAGTTCCAATTCTGGTTGCATATGCTGGTTTACCGACAATTAACAACTCACTTGCTTATAATGTTCTATTTTTCTTGATCTTTTCCTAGCTTCATGATTCCTTTTTTTTAAAATACTTCTTTAGATGTTTTTCTTTTAATTATGCCTATTTCCGGTTTTAGTACCTCTTGTCGGTTTATTACTAAAAACAGCAATAACCCACTTAAAATGGAGTGCGGATTGTAGAGTTCGTTTTTTACCTTTTTCCATCTTCTAATTCTTAATGAGTTAACTCCTTACGTACTTCATGTAGTCCTGATTTGCTTTTCCTTTGCAGTTATGTTCATCGAGTGGGCCGCACGGCTAGAGCTGGTAGAGAAGGGTATGCCGTTACATTTGTCACAGACAATGATAGGTCTCTTCTAAAAGCCATTGTGAGTTCATGCCCCCTCTGTTCAAACATCTTTTAGCTGTTCAGTCACTTAAGGAGTCCTACTCCATAAGTCCTCTTTTCGACTGTTAGGATATTATTCTATGATTAAAATCACTGATCAATTAGAGGTCTTTGGTGAATTTCTAATTTCTTTTGCTGTTTTAATCATATCTCTGACTGTGCAGTACCTTTTTTTCTATGGAATTCTATTTTGGTTCCTCTTCATGGGATTATTCCTTTGCGACCATTTCTCCAATCAGGAAAATTGTATTTTGAGAACCATTGATTAGTTAGATGTATTCGGTGCTGCTTGTTCTAATATCTTGCTTTTTAGTTCTTTGACAAAAGTAACATATTGACGATTTTTTTTGCTTTTGGGGATAAGACCTTATTGATCATTCACTCGATGATTTATATAATCCTATTTGATTGGTCTTAAACATGACACAACATTTGTGTGGCTATTAGACCTTTTGGAACTTGTGGTCTTCAAAATTCCATAACATTTGTGTGGCTGTAAAAAAATGTCATTAAGGGTAAAATGGAATGTTTAAGCTAACTTATTTTCAAATTTAGAAAGTAGTCATTCTTTTTTAAATTGAGTAACAAAAGAAGTAGGTTCACATAAATTGAAGCGAAGGTAGCACTATTTATGGTTTAAAATAAAAATAATCATTTTGATGACTATGCACTATCTGGTATAAGAACCATATAGACCCGCAAACTGCAACTTTTTCTATGCCACCCTGAAATAAAGATGTGTATAGAGGCTAAAAAGTTATTTTACAGGTTAAACGAGCTGGTTCAAGGCTGAGGAGTCGAATTGTAGCAGAGCAATCAATAGCTAAGTGGGCACAAGTAATTGAACAGCTGGAAGATCAAGTGGCTGCAATTATGCAAGAAGAGAGGTGTTACTTCATCACCTTAAATTTGTACTGAATTTGAGAATTAGAGTTTATTTATTAACTAACAAGTTTTCGTTTACTGCAGGGAAGAGATGGCACTAAGAAAAGCTGAGATGGAAGCAGCTAAGGTAATGTATCACAACAGAGTTTTGGGAACCCTACTATGAACAATTGCATGTAGTTTTAGACGTCTAAGACCCTTCTCCCTCCAAAAGAAGAAAATCATTAGATAAATGCTGCATAACATAGTTTGACGTGTTGTGTTAACGTTGCAGGCTGAGAATATGATTGCCCACAGGGATGAGATTTATTCACGCCCCAAAAGAACATGGTTTGTCACAGAAAAGGAGAAAAAGCTTGTCCAGAAGGCAGCAAAGGTGACCTTTTACTTTGTTGTTTATCTGGATTGCATGGACGTTTCTATAGGATTGCATGAAGTCCTAATTGGCATTTACTTATAGTGCTTGTTCTTTTTGTCCTTGTAAAACAAATTACTCCATCATTTTAGGATACACATTCGCATGGCTCATTGAATAATTTTTTTTTAAATTCTTGGTTGGCCAATGTATCTATAGTAAAAATAAGGAATAACAAGCTCTAATCATAGTCTGAAGTGACCAGGCGTATTGAGAAGGTCATGAGCAAGAAATGCGAGGACAGTATGTTGGAGTTTAGCCCGTGGAACTATTCCTCTATATTATGCTTGAAACAATACAGTACTGGTTGATTAAAAGTTTTGCTGAAATGCAAATGATATTCCAGGAATCATCAGCTAAAGAAAATGGTTCCGAGAGCAAGGTGATGAGTGCCGAACAAGCGGAAGACCTGAAGATGAAGGAGAAGAGGAAGCGAGAGCGGGAGGTTCTAGTCATCTTTGTGCTTTTTGTTAATTTGAGTACAAATTTTTGCTTGACCTGTCATTCATCGTTCTCATTGTTTATCTGATTGCTATAGAAAAACCTGCCGAGGAAGAAAAGGAGGAAGCTGGAGGCTGCCCGAGAGCAATTAGAAGATGAAGATGACTCAGATGAAGTAAGCTTCTCCTCTTCACTTCACCCTTGTTGCATATTTCATTGTCGTCTCTAGCAATCTATATATGCCAGTTTTTTAATATGAAACCTGGAAGATATACTGATTTTCCGATGATATTATGGTATTATTCCATATTTCTGTATATTGCATCTTTGGATTTTTGTTCGTTTCTGGAAATGTTTTCCAACATCTTTAATTGCTGAGGGATATTTTAAATGAATCTCTATCTCTTGAAAATACTTTCGAGAAAATGGGAGCTATTGGACTGAGAAAAAATCAGTTGAGAATGAGGGCTGTTGCAAACATAATAATCTATGTGGTCCCGAATTCATGAACTAAGCAATTTGAATACGTACTTTGCTTGCTATTTAACATATTAATATTGTTCTTTGGTAGTGTTACCTATCTTGCTCCTTCAACCATTTCAGGGCAAAGGGAAAACAAAGAAAGACAAAGAGAAAGCTGGGATTTCCCTAGTTGATCTTGCTTATCGTCGTGCAAAAGCAGTCAAGGCTGTGAACAAGGCAGTTGATGCTGGCAAGATTGTTAGAAAGACAGGAAAAAAATTGAAACCAAAAACCAGAGTATCTGAATCAAGGACAGATGAAATGCAGGATCTTTTTCAAAATGATATGAGTGAGAAAAAACAAAGGAAACCACAGCATGGGGGTATGAAGAAGAAGTCCTCATTCAAGAGCAAGTCACGGTATGACTCTATTAAAAACTTCTCTCATTCTTAAGCTCAGATGGATATGTATGCGAATCTGTCAAATGTATAACTTGCATTTTACTATTTTCCTTGAAAAATTATGAACTTGATTTAATTTGATAAATTATTAAATTTATTTTGGAAAAGTAGCTAAATACTTATATAGGCCACGGCGATGTAGACTCGAGACAGGAGTCTCAGTTCTCCGAGCATGCTTTTAACATACTTCATGTTTATGTACGAGATTTTCTCAAGGGATTTGAATGTGCAGGTACAAGAGGAGGTAACATAGCAATACAGCGGTGATGAGCTGAAAATCAGATAACTGGAGCAAGGTAGGCTCATCGGACATGACTATCGTTTCCTAACGAAGGAATGCCCTTTTGGTGCTGACATGAATTAAGATACCATCCTGCTGCAAGTAGTTTCTGAAAGTGTTGCTGACATTGGCCTTGTATCGGTATTTCTAGAAGCTTGTACGAGGGAATCGTACATGTTAGTTTATGAGTAGGTCCTCGGTTGTTCTCAGTTTCATTTTTGGAGTGTATTTATCTCATATTTTTTTTTTGGACTTGCACATTTACTAGATGTAAAGCATGTATCTGTACGTGTATTCAATTTTGATAACACACCGTTGATTATCTTAAATTTAACTTCCTTGTCCTGTATTATATGAGTTAATTACTTTTGACTCTAAGCTGTATGATTATGCACCAAAATATCCATCTTACCCTTACTTTTGACTATAAGCTGTCAAAAGTCAATTACTCTTTGTGCCGAATTAGCCAATTTGAGTTATCTCAGATTTAATGAACTTTCTCTATGCTTGTCATTACTCGCTAAAATCTTACGTGGAAACTTTCTATTATTCTAAATTTACCTCTTTATGAGCCAAAATTTAAGTTCTTCGTTATCCAATCAGGGGACACTTTGAATATGAAATAGAATGCATAATAGAGGCAAGAAACATTCTTCTAAATTTCTTTGATGTAAATGAGAAATTACAACTACACGTTCTCTGTGGTGGCAGAGACACTGTGTGAAACGCTAAGTAAATAAAAAAGTTAAAAATTACACTTTGAAACAATTAAACCTAGCACCTTTTCATGCCAAGTAATGTCAAGAATCATATCACATTCAGAAATTGAGTCTTTATTCAGCTATATATGGTCCTCCCACTAAATCACTAGAGTCTCTCCTACCTGGGATTCACCTATTGCTATAAACACTGGCCTGTTAACCGATCCCACGAGGGAAACCAGATAAATTAAGTCTACTTCCAAGGTGGAGGATGAAGTTTAAAAGGGAAAGGCTCCCAGCCATCATCTGGTTCTTTGCGTTTCCCACCGATGCTTGAACTGGTTGAGGGTCCTGAGGTGGTCCTAAAGTGGTCGTCCATTGACCTAGTCGGTCCTTGATCAAAAAGCTGCATTGTACCTCTGTGGTATCTAGTTCCTCCCTGAAGTATTGAGCCGGTATTGAGATCTAGACTACTCCTTGATGGCATCACCCCACTAGAAACAGGTGCACCAGTCATGCTTATAACAAATGGTTGGTGGTAGAAGGATGGTGGTATTGCTGAAGCGGAGCCCAAAATGTGAGGCACAAAAGCTGCCCCCCGGGAATCCACCGTGTAAGGGACGGAACCACCGGATCCATACATCGCCGAGGGAAAAGGCATGGCAGGACCCGGTGTGATGCCATTGTACCCAGTGGCAGGAGAATGGGTATACGGAAATGGAGATCCCATTCCCAAGAAACCACTTCTTGCGGTACTAAGATCAACTGCATTTTCCACTATCCTGCCATTTGGTAACATAACAGACCGAGAAACAGGATCTTTATGGTTGACGTCTACCTTCATGCCCATGATGGATACTACAGAATCACCTGAATTAATACCTCCAGAGGTGTTTGAATACTGAGACGGCTTCTTGAAGAAAGGTACATCTGAAGAATCATGGAGAAAAGTCGGCTGGTCATTTAGATCAACGTTTCTTAATGATGGTTGTTTTGATGATGACGACGATGATGGAGAGTGACTCCAATCGCCCCTATCCGGGAAGAGTCTTCTTTCCACCCGCCAATTTGTTGGTGCTTCACCCTCCTCACTAGCACAGTTCAGATCTAACTCGAGCCTAGCCAATTTTTTTGGGCTAGCTTCAACAGAAGATTCTCCTGAAGGAAGGGTAGATGATACTGAGGCTTGTTTTCCAGTAATTAGATCGGCGAGTCTATCATCCCCACCTTCAGCTACATTCAGATCAATATCAAGGCAACTTTGCTGTTGTTTTGAGATGCTGTCACTCCCACCAGAAGAAACAGCCTTGTCACTTTCAGGAATCTTGCGAGGTGATGCTGGCCGAAATGCACTAGTTGCAGCAGATCCTTTCCATCCAAGAGTCCCTTCAAACTGCAAAGGAGGAACAGGGACTCCAGGAGCAGCTGCTGCCCTTGAAGCAGAAACAACAGAGATGGAGGTGGAGATTGGATTTCCTGGTCGATCTATGTCGTCTGAGCTAACCTCTAGATTCAAATCAAAATCACACCCTTTTTGGTCATTGGATTCAAGATCCAAACCAGCATCGGTAATCTGAGAGGACTCTAGCTTCTCTGTGACATTAATTGGGCCAGCTTCTGAGTATGCAAGTGAAACCTCAGGCCGAACAGGTGTTCCTTTTGGTATTTCCTCATTGGAGCCATTTGCGCTCCTAGAATCTGGGCTATCAGGCTCATGAACCTTACTCTCCCGTGTTTTCTCAGAAGAACTGCAACTCTCTTGGACTTCTCTCTCAACTTCTATTGCAACTTGTCGAGCAACTTCTAAAGGATCTATAATGCCATAGTCTAATTCAATATCACCTTTCTTTTCAAGCACACTACATATTGTAATACCTCTTTGTGGTACTTCAAATTCAGTGTCAGTTTCCAGATCATCCTCACTTTTATTACTAACACATTTTTCATCCCCACCAACATCCACTTTCATTAAAGCAATACTCAAATCCTTGGGATGCTCCACATTATGCTTGTTGGGAGAATCTTGCAGTATGTCAATGTTGTACTTTCTCTCTTCTTTAGCTCCAAGCACTGTATTGCTTCTGTCATGACTTGCAAAGACACTGTTTTTTGGTATTTTTCCCTTCGAACTGGCCACTGATACATTATCAACAGAAAATATCTCTTTACCACCATCTACATTTTTGGCATCATTTTGTCTTTGTACATCTTGACCAGAGACCGCCTCTGAATCTTCTCTGGCCTCAGGACCTGAAGAGAAGGTTTTGTTATCTAATGGTTTAGGCACTGCCGAGTTTAATTTTTCTAGACTACCGACTTCTTGCACGTGGTTTAAACAATTAACATACTCTGAAACAGGAATATCTTTCTGCTTATCAAGACTACAGTGTCTCTCCACTGCAGATGTGGATGTATCAATAGCAGTGGCGCTACTCTCTGCATGATAAGTCAGGTATTTTTCCTTGTCTTCACTAGCAGATTTTGCCAAAGACAGAGAATTTGGAGACCCTTCTTCCAACATTGTATGCTGCAAATTTCTGTCCAATGCCTCAGTATAATTAACTATGGACGGATGAATGTCATCGGACCTTGAAGATAGCAGCTTATTCTCATTGATGTGTTCCTCGCTCTTCTCTTCTCTGGACCCAGAAGGAGAAATGCCCCTGAGAGAAGGTTCTGAATTTACAACTTCCCCCACAACATTTGTGATCACTCTTGTCTTGTCATCAATGGATGCCTGTACTTTTGCCTCGCCCACTGAAACTGCATCCTCATCTGTTTCTTTCTCCCAACTATCAAACAATGCTCTAGACCTCTCTAGTATCTTAGAACTTTTGTGGCCAAGGAGATTCTTCACAGTCATCATGATTCCAGAGGAAACTGATTTCTCCTTGTCGACATGCAGCCTTTCAATAGCTCGTAGAAAATGAGTGATTGTCTCTTCAGCTACATTGTCATTTGTGTCACTGCCCAACTCCTGGGCATCCTTTAACCAACTGTTCATAAAGTGAAGACCATCTAGCTGGATAAAGAGTTCAAGACACTCTTTATTCTCAGTTGCAGCTATTGTGCTTGCAACAGCAGTCCAATGTCTCATTATTTCAATAGTATTCTTGACACCATGCTCTTTTTCCTTCTGCATGATAGAGACTAGCTCCTGGACTCGAGCAGGCGCTGTAAGCCCATTACTCATCTCAGTCAAGGTAAAGAAGTCCTCGAGTGTCATGATGTATTATTGCCTCAAAGGTTAGGACTTCCAAGAAGCAAAGTGATTTTCTTAACATGCTATCTCGTAATCCTTCATATCCGGAAAAGAAAAGCAGAGGAACTTTCTCCAACCTTCCCTGCAGAAAAGAAGTTTCAAACATGATTTCAATAGGTTAGAGACAATGCTTTCATAACTTATCCCTCTGGTCCAAAATGAAAAATAAAAATACTACTTCCCTTACAATTGAATATCTAATGATAAAATTGTTGGCACAAGAGATTATTCATTCTATTTTACATGTTAGATCAATTTCCATCCTTCAAACACAGGAGCAGAATATTCATAAGATTATACATGTCGCTAACCCCAACTAATTTTGGGACTGAAGTGCAGTTAATTGATCCTTTTAGCATAGATAAGTAGTAAAAGCATGCAAATTAGAAAGTTCAAGCTTTCCTACAAGGTTGCAAACCTAAAAGTACTAGTCAAAGACCTCCTACATCACTAAACAGATTTGACTATGCTATAAATAGAGTACATACCTGTGCTCATTTTTCAAAAACTATAATGATTGACTATGAGATATATTAACAGATAGAATATAATTTTTTTGCATCAGCCGATAACAAATTCTGGTATAAACTGAGAGAGGAGGTCCCAGTTAGTCCACCACCACAATATGCATCTAAAACACATCAGAAATGTATATATTAAAGGATCCAAATTGCCTCGTGTTCCATCTAATGCAACTAAAATTTGGTGACAATCTGGATAAGAAAATCTACAATAAGCACCTACGACACGTGAAAAACTGCCTACGTGAGAAGAGCGAAAACACGATGTTCCTAACACGACGACCTACATGGTGCCAAGGGGGTTCAGCTGAATCCCCTTGGTCAGAAAATTTCGCAGTTCCTGTGGGTGAATTACATTTAACAATATATTATAATTGTTTGTATACACGATTGGATCTCCATGATGCAAGCAGAGTGAGCAGCGGTCAAAAAGGTTCAAAGAATTTATGAGGTTCCAAGTTCAAATTACATTACCAACAAGTTATGTTGTCTTTGTTCAGAACCAGATACACCAAGGGACGTCTTTTTTCTAGAAAAATAACTTATATAATTTAACTAGAAATAAAACTTCAAGAGGAGTAAATGCTTACCGGTTAGATAATAAGGTAGTGTTTGAGTGGATGGGAGATATGTCTGCACCAAACCTTTTGATCAGTGTGCCTGTGCCAAATTACACTCGTAACTAAGTTGAGGTATGTACTTCTAATTGGTAATGATTCTCTAAGATTTTCATTTTTTTTATATGAGAGAGATCAGATAGTCAATAAAAGAGAGATATTGAGTTTTCAAGGTATCATAATGAGAACAAACATAGATTAACTGTGCAATTTCCACACAAAAAGGAAATTTCTATGTAGTTCCTACTGGAAAAAAGATATTAACTCTATCTGTAAATAAGTTTAAAGGCACACTTGATCACAGTGCCATATTCAGCATTATACAGAGAAAAAACAGCCTTAACAATAAAAGAGCGTGTCAATGGAATCTGATTTTTTTTTTGGTTATTTGGGGGGGGGGGGGGGGGGGGGAATAGTATTTGAAGTTCTTAAACCAATACAGATCAAAAACAGCCTTAACAGTAAAAGAGCATGCAAATGGCATCTGATTTTGAAGGGGGGAAAAAAAGTATTCCAAGAAGACGATCTTACACCTATGAGTTTGTAATTAGATGCAAAAATCATCAAGCACGTGTAGAAAAAGAAAGTCCCATGCAGGTAGTGGTTGTGGCTTATCTTCTGAAGCATCTCAGATAGAACTGGAGAATAATCATTTCAGCATGCAACATATCGCCTCAAATAATTATGCAAATATATGTAGAAATTCAAAATGAAAAGAAAACAAGTAACATCTACTTATCAAAAGAAGTTAACATCCGACTCTATCCCTTCCTATACATACATATCACGTTGCCTGCACCTGCTGCCACCATGCCCAACCCTCAAAATTAGATAAGGAAAAAAGGAACACAAAGGTGGCTCCAAGAAAGAGAAAGAAAAGAATACAGGGGCTGAGGGCTCACTAGACCAACTACATGCTGTGGCAATATCGATTGACAATCAATCAACTACGTCCGAATCTCAAATTAGTCAGGTTGGCTATACCATACTTTGTTACCGTTCTTTGTTTCACCTGTATTAAGCACCTCTCTTTCCAATACTAAATAATTACTCCTAGTACTTTAAGTCAAGTAGGGATTGCTTATAACATAGAGTTCTCTAAATCTCACAATTATCCCAGTCACGTCCCTAACCACTCTGAAAAGACTCCTCACAAACACCAAACCCAATGTAACTGTAACAAAAACTAATCGCTAAACCTGGACTATATGCAACGGCAATTTTGTGCTAAAATACAAAAATCTTACACATCAGATCACACCATAGGCAACAGAGAGAATACTAACTAGAATGCCCCAAAACCTAATTTACAAATGTATTTGATTAAACCCATGCAATAGCGAAAAGCACAATCAACAGAACAAGGACACGAGAACTCACCAGACCCTCAAATGCCTTTTGGATCAAGCACGAAGACTAATAAAAACTGTATCTTTCCGAGAACTTTTACTTCTTGTCAACCTGAAAAGAAAATTTTCAAACGAAGGGAAAAAAATTAGTGTATAGCAAATGCAATAGTAGGACCAAAATCTTCACTATCCAAAACTAAAAGGAATTTTGGGTTTACAAATTCTTCATGAAAAGGAAAAAAATAAAAAGACTTAATTAGACAACTGGAAAAAAAAAAAACTAAAGCTAAACCCTAGAACAATTTCAACCTAAAAAAGACCACAAAATTCTAGTCAAGAACAAAATAGGAAAATGAAAACCTAGTCAAGAATTGGACTACTGTAAGCATAAAATGCGTAAAGTTCATATTTTTCTAACATATAAAACAAGAAATAGCACACAAAAGATTAAATTAAACACTATATTGCAATTAATGCAGCAAAACAATAGAGGAAAACACAATCACAATCACAGAAAGCAAAATATACTCAAATTAAATTTCAACAATAATTGCAGTAATTAATAACTTTAAGAAAAAATGAACTTTACCTTGATTAGTTGGTCCAAATAAATGGAAACCCCTCTAATTGAGAGCTTCACTTTGGAATCCCAAAAGCTCAAACTTTTGCTTCTGCTTACCAAAACAACTTGCTAATTACCAAAGCTCAAATTATTTTTGTTCTTCTTCGAATTATTAAAAAAATTAAGAATTATTTTTCTCACCTTCCTCTTTGTAATTTTCATAAAACCCTGCTTTGTCTCCCTTTGAAAACAGAGAGAAAAAGGAATGTTTCTTCTTCAGAAATGTCTTTTTTTTCTTCTTTTCTTTTTTCTTTTTATTTTTAGAGTGGGTCTTCCTTCATCCAATTTCTTTCATATTTTTGAGTTTCTTATCACACGTGTCGGGTCCTACAGGCCCAAACCCGGATATTTCTCTATCAGAAGATACGAATCGGGTAGAGAAAGTGAGTGGACTGGTCTTGATGGAAATTGTGGGTCCAGGTAGGATATTTGGGCCTTCGGCTTCTCTATGAAAGGATGGTGGAAAGAAGAAAAAAAAAAAAAAAACATTTTCCTTCCTATACCATATATGAAACTTTATTATAAAAAATGTGCATAGTTTCATATTTACCCGCCATGTTTACAGTTATTCTATAAAATATATATCATTCATTAAATACCAATTATTAGGAGCTGATTCCTTCCTAATTAGGCGCTATAAATCTGGAACTAAATATTCTTCCAGATATTCCTATTTAGGCGCGCTACAATTATGGAAGTAATTATTCTTCCAGATATTTTTCACCATTGACAGCCATTAAAAAGCTTGAAAGCTTTGAATTCAAATTTGGGTTTTCAAACATCATTATTTGTTTGGATTGAGTGTTGTTGAAAATAATCGAGAATATGGTTTGGAGTTTATATCTCAATTTTGAGGGGGTTTGGTGAAGATTAGACTTGGTTTTGACTAAATTTCAGATTGAAACTCGAAAAAGAAGAAGAAGAAGAAGAAGACATATTGCAGAAATTGTAGATAAATTGTAGATTATTTGTATTCTGATTGTAGATGCTTTATTTTCTATTTTCACAAATAAAAAATGGCTAAAACTTCTACAAATCTTCTGAAAAAACGCAATTATGTCAAAAATCACAATTATGCTACAATTGAATGGGAATTGGGATATAAAAATTCAATGCACCTAGTTTGTAGATATTTTGTAGATAAATTGTAGATTATTTGTATTCTAATTGTAGATGCTTTGTTTTCTGTTTTGCACAAATCAAAAACGACTAAAACTTCTACAAATCTTCTGCAAAAAACGCAATTATGTCGAAAATCCCAATTAAACTACAATCGAATGGGAATTGGGATATTAAAATTCAATATACCCAGTTTGTAGATATTTTGTAGATGAATTGTAGATTATTTGTATTCTGATTGTAGATGCATTGTTTTATGTTTTCACAAATCCAAAACGACTAAAACTTCTACAAAATCTTCTGCAAAAAATGCAATTATGTCGAAAATACCAATTAAGCTACAATTGAATGAGAATTGGGATATTAACCTTAGAAATTTTGGTTAATTGCAGTTCATTTCATCACAATGCACATCATGTGGTACTACAAAGAGAACTGGTTCTTCTTTCCTATCACGCACCAGAGAAGATTTGAAGCAATTGTTACTTTGCTCGAGGACAAATGATGTTGACATTGTAATTTGAGAATGGGACATTCAGCAAATGCTTCGTGATCTCAATGTGAATGAACTCTAAATTTACCAGAATGTAAATTGTAAATTACAAATATTTAAAGTATCTTATGTGATCGAGTAATTGAGTTAGTTGCTCATCCATTTTCAAAGTTCATGTACATGCCTTTGTTTGCACGCACTTATTACATGCTCAGAAAAAAGAATGTCCTGGATACAAAATTATGAAGTAAAAGGTTGTTTAGAGTAGACTACAGAGAGGTTGACATTTTGCACTGCTCAGAATAATGTGTTGAGGGCACAAAAAATAGAGTTAACATATAGATTAAAATCTCTGAACGATTTGATTAATCATAGTGGTTTGGGAGAGAGAAACGTGGGAGGGGTGGGATATACGGTACCTTGAATTAAGGAGGGATATACGCTGCATTAATTGTACCCTTAAAATACACTATGGTATAGAATTGGTATATTGGTATACTAAATGTAATTATATCAAACCTTAAACATTGAGGGTAATAAGGTTTCCTATATGGTATAGGAATGTAAAAATTCCAAAAAAAAATGCTCCTTTAATACTCGATATTTGCATCAAGCCAATTTCTCTCAATATAATAAAATGTAAAATATATAATAATTAATTATAAAATACTCAAAGTTTATATGAAAATATGCAATGATGTACCCATAATATTTAGCGTTTAGATGTAGATTTGGTTGAAACTTGAAAAAAGAGTTTTGAAAAATAATTTTTGGAAGTTGAAATTATATTCGGACATGCAGTTTATTTGAAAAAAAAAAGTATAAGTTTTGTGAGCGGAAGAAAAAATTTCACCCATAAACTGTCCTAAACCAGTTTTTGGGAGCTTAATTTTTTTTAAAAACTGATCATATTCTATGAACAAATAATATTTTTAAATTTTTTTAACACGAAAGTAGATAAAATTTATGGCCAAACGAGAGCTTAAGTTACATATATTCATTTGCCTTTGATCTAGGAATTGTTACTGATCATCGAAGAGTGATCAGTCGTTCGAATATATGTCAATAACCATATTTTATATGATAAGATAATGTTGGCATAAAAAGAATGAATGTTTTTTTTGCTGGTCAAAAGGATGATATATTAACTAGTTAGACAAAGGGGTTACACTGCCTTGAGAGTTACTAGGATACTTTAAAGTACCCATGGATGCAAAGTTTTGCATAATTGTATCTATATTACAACCCAAAAAGATCCTAGGTAGTTCAGTTCCTAGGGTGTCTGCCCAAAATACATCATTGGCAAACACCGTCGGAACTGCTAGTAGTAATATTTTGTTCAAAAAGTTTTTCTTGGCTGCTTCCTTTGCCAGTGCATCAGCTACTCTGTTTTGCTCCCTGTAAGAGTGCCTCACTATCACGCTGCCCATCCTTTGAATCAACAATCTGCATTCACAAATTAGAGGGTCAAATATTAGGTTGCCATCTATCAACATATTGATTACTTCTGCAGAATCAGTGTCTACTTGAAGCGGAAGTAAATTGTTTTGTTCTGCTAATTGAAGGCCTCTGATGAGGGCTCTAAATTCAGCCCCTAAGTTAGATGTTTGTGGTAGGTTTTCCATGAAACCTAACATCCAACTGCCTCTATGATCTCTGAATATGCCCCAGCTCTACTAATTCCTGGGTTGCCCTTTGCTGCACCATCAGTGTTTAGTTTGAAAGAGCCTCTTGGCGGTGGTGACCATTTGAGCATGATTTGATGGGTGCACTTCTGGGCACTGCTGCATTTGAGGGCTTGGTATTCAGTGGCTTTAGCAATTGTGTTATTAGCATTGATGGATTCTTTTTTGTTATTGAACACATTGTTATTCCTTACTAGCCAAATGTGCCAGAAGCAGTATGGAATTAGGATTGCCCAGCTAAGGTAATCATTGAACTTTACCCCTTTAAGAGTTGGCATTACAGTTTGCCAAAGGTGGCTGCAGCTGAGAGGGTTGGATGGTGGTGGAGTTGATGATTTTGACCTGATGGAATTCCAAAAATGGGCAGCATTGGGGCATAGGAAGAAGATGTGGTCAATATCTTCCTGCCCAGAATCACAATATTAGCATTGAGTGGGGCAGTTTATTCCAATTGAGTTTAGGAATATCTTGGTGGGGAGCCTTTTGTGGGTTAAGAGCCATATGAAGTATTTTATCTTGTTTGGGGTTTGAAGTTTCCATATCTACTTGAAATGTTCCACTTCCCCTTGAGAGTAATGTTGAGCACTTTTATAAATGAAGGAGTATGCAGAACTGTGAGAAAACTGCCCACTAGGAGTAAGAGCCCATATTAGAGTGTCCTCCTTAGTGGTTACACTAGGAATAAACACAGATTTCAGGATGTTTTGGATATGGGGAGGGAGGTCAAATGACAGGGTTCCAGTGTCCCAAGTTCCCCTGTTGTGCATTATTTCCACCTTGATTTGAAGTTCATTTGGGGTTAAGGGTCCCTCTATCAACTGCCTGAGAGCCAGCTGATTGGGGATCCAAGTGTCACCGAAGAAGATGACCCTGTTATCCTTGTTCACTATTCATCTACTAGCTTTGCTGCATGTTTCACAACCTTTTAGCAAGCTCTTCCAGGTAGTGGATTTGTTGTTCCCATGGTGCCTCCCAGCCTGGGCAGGTCTAGCCATATTACAATTTTTGTGGATAAGGACTCTTGCCCAGAGGCTGTTGGTATTTTTGTAGGCTCTCTATGCTAGATTTGTTAAAGCAGCTTTATTTTTAAAGCTTGCTTTTTGCAGCCCTAGCCCTCCCTCAACTTTAGTTCTAGTGACGACCTCCCACTTGATCATATGCATTTTTTTCTTTTTCGGGGTGGTTCCCCAGAGGAAGTTTCTCTGTATCCTGTCAATTTGGTTGGTTATTTTGGTTGGAAGAGTTATGTATTGCATTACATGGCTTGGGATGCTACTCGGGGTGAATTTTGCCAGCACAGTTCTCCCAGCCATATTGAGGAGTTTGGTTTTCCAGCCAGCCAATTTGTTTTGCATGTTGTCAATGATAAACTGGAAATCAGAAGCTGAATGCTTTTTGTGAAAGATTGGAAAGCCAAGATACCAACCAAAGGATGTGGTGTGTTTAATGGATAGGGTGTTGGAGAGTTGCTGGGATGTGTCTTGTGTAGTGTTTAGGAGAACATGACTCTTGATTTGGCCAAATTGATTTTTTGGCCTGACTGGCTGTTGAAGTTCTGCAATATGGAAAGGATTGTATTACAGTTCCTGATGTTACCTTTGGCAAAGAGAGTGAGGTCATCAGCAAAGAAGAGGTGAGAGATTTTTGGTCCAGACCTACTTATGTTGATGGGGTGCCACTGGTTTTGAATGACTGCCCTGTCAATGGCTCTGTATAGCCTTTCCATACATAGAATGAATAGGTATGGTGACATAGGGTCTCCCTGTCTGATGCCTCTTGGAGGCCTGAATGATTCAGTTTCCCTCAATTGACAAGGATTGAGATAGAGGAAGTACTTATGCAGGACATGATGAGCTTGGACAGTTTCTCAGGGAAGTTGAAAGCATTTAGGGTATCTTTGATGAAGGACCATTCTAACCTATCAAAGGCTTTTTCAAGGTCTATTTTTAGGATCATATTGAC